GTCAACGTGTTTAGCAAAAAAATATAATAAAATACTTACTCTCGTTGTCGCAATCTCTAGCTTGATGCTCAGTTGATCCACATTTGAAACTAAAATAAATTGTTAACGTATTATGCAAGGTTACATAACTTACTAACCCAAATTTTATTGTGTCTCACCATCCTCTATCTCCAAGAATGTTTTTACGAGCTGTTCCAAAATATTATTTATCAAATTAGTAAGTTATTTCGTTACTTTACATTCAAGCATAATAATAATAATAATAAATGCGCACTTTCTGCATAGGAGTTATGTCGACGGTCTTCTGGGCAAAGCCTATAATAAATAATAAATTTAATAAGTGTAAAATGATACCATAAACAACTTCAAAACTTTCCAAATAATAATAATACTTTGTCCAATGTTCAGCTGATCCACAGTGTTGACACGTCATCGGTCCCGTCTTTTCATATTCTATGGATTAAAAATGGTGCAATACTTTTTAAGCGAATTATTTATTTTATAAATAATAAAACTAGGTGTCAACTAAAAGGTTACCTCTTTTCGGCTGAGGACAATCCCTACAAAACAATGGGAATCATAAATATAAATGTGTAAAAAGTGTACAAAATCATATATTGTATTTTCGCGAAATAACACGCAGGGGTATAATTTCGAATTTTGGCCTAAATTAAGCTTAATTCTGGCCATGGTTCGAAATAACGCACATGCGCGTTATTTTGTGAGAATAAGGTAAATGAATATAATAAATTATATACTTTGTAATATGCCCTTTCTCTCTACAATTGAAACAAGCGGGTTCACGATCGTCCCTCATGAAACCAGCATCAGCAAGCCATTCAACATTTTCACCTTCATCTCTCGCGCGAGATCCAGCAGTACGAGGAAGTCTGTCTGGAGATCCCATGATGAGCGTAGCGACATATTTCTTTCCAGTGTTTCCTTGCAAGTCAATGAGGCATTTTGTTAATGGAATACCTTCCCGCTCCTAAAATATACCATAAAAGAAAAGTATTAAATAATTGATTGCTAATCAGATATAAATGAATTCAAGGGGCGAATCTTTACCAGAGCTATTATTCTGCCTATGCAATTAGCAGCTCTTAGTTTTTTTTCGATTGATTGAAAATTTTCATCGGGCGTAGCTTTGGCATATTCTTCAAACGCTTCTTTGAAATCATCAATGTCTTTTTCTTTATCTGCCTTAAGGAGTTGTTCCCAAGCTTCTTCAGATGACATACTGGCAGGCTTAGGATTTTCCCCTAAATACTCTTATCGTTAATTTATTCACGTATAAACTTTTCAAAAACAAAAGAAAAATCTATTCAACTCATACATGGTGTAGTTTTTCGAACTCTTAAAGGGCATCTGGCCGAAAGATGTTCCGAAGAACCGCATTGAAAACTAAAAAAATTATGATAAGGCACGGACAGGTTCAAATCATAAAAATAAAGAAAGAAGTATAGATAATATATATATCTGATTATACATTACCAGCTAAGCGTTTTACTACCGTCACCTTCTTCAGTACATTCAGACGCGCGATGACCAGGTTGGTTGCACTTGTAGCTGCGTATATATAAAGGTTACGAAAATTTAAAAAAAAAGAAAAAAGAAAAAAAGAGTATATATATATGATTATTATTACCAGTTAAACGATTTACCACCATCAAAACCTTCTTCAGTACATTCGGACGCGCGATGACCAGGCTGGTTACACTTGTAGCTGAGAATATATAAAGGTTATGTAAATGTCAACAATTTAAAAAAAAAGTACATATACATATATATATCCGTGATTATACATTACCAGTTAAACGATTTACCACCATTACCTTCTTCAGTACATTCGGACGCGCGATGACCAGG